CCAGCGGCGGGGCCTTCGCCCGCGTGGAGACGTAGGGCAGCGGGTGCGCGTGGTTCAGCAGCGGCGACGTCGCGAACGCTTGCCACGCCATGCAAAAGTCCTCGAGGGTCTCTGCGAGTACTTTCCCTCCTTCCGCGCGGGCGGGCATTGCTGGTATTTCTCGTGTGGGCGGCGTCTCGGTCCGCGAGTCCGACTGGTTGCTCTCCGAGTTTGCCGCCCATTCCGCGGGCCAGTCCTGGGCGCTGCACCTGTGCCAGGCCGTCTCCGAGGCGGCGCTCGCCCAAGCGCGCGTCGCCCCCGCCCAGCAGGTGCAGGGCCGCAGCTTGGGCGCCAGACCGGGGCCCATGCTCCCCGCCGCCGGCGCGGCCTACGTCGACAGCTACCTCGCGGCGGGCTCGCGGCGCGCCAAGGTGCAGGCAGTGGCCGGCAAGGTCGAGCGCGAGCTCTCCTGCGTCGGTTTCTTCGTCCACGAGCAGGTCGACGCCGCGCGGGCCACTGGCGTCGTTGGCCATGACCTCGACGGGCGCCACCACCACGCGATCGAGGAGCTCCTCCGCCGCCCCGAGGTTCGGGCCCCATCCTGGAGATCGCCGTCGGGCACCGCACCTGGGCCATGCTGCTCAGGCGGCGCTCGCTGGCCAGCTTCGATTCCGCATGCGCCTTCATCCAGACCGCCCGGGACGAGGCCCTGCCCTTTAGAACTTCTAGCCCGCCGTGCGCCGCGAGCAGCGGCGCGCGCGTTCCTTGCTGCCCCTCTTCGCCGTCTTCGCCGACGCCGACTGGCGCGACGAGGTCGCTGCCGGCGGCGCGCCGGCTCGGGTCTGCGGGGCGCGCCGCCGCCGTTGCGACCTGGAGGTGGCTGCGCAGATATCGCCCGCGCCGCGGAGAGACGGCGGCGCCTCTTCGAGGGGCCCGCCCGCGCGCGAGAGCACGCCTTGGGCGCGGCTGACGCCGCCGCCGCGCTGCGCGATCCAGGCAGGCTGCCGCCCGAGGAGGCCAAGGACTGGGACAAGTCATTCGGCGAAGTCGATCCTAACTTTCTCGTCAGCGACGGCTGGGCGATCACGAATGTTCCCCGTGGGGGGGCTCCTTCGTCATCTGCCGCGCCGAGGGCCCGGCGGCGGCCTCTGCTCTCCGCCGCCGGCTCAGGTCCGCCAGTGCCTCAGGGAGGAGGATCGCGCGCCCGGTCGGCGCAGCGTCGCTCGCTCTCGCGATCGGCAAGGGCCGCGGCTTGTTTCCGCAGCAGCGTGGCGCTTCGCGGGAGATCTGCACCCGCGGCCTCGCCTGTCGCCAGTGCATCGTCGCCGGGGGGACCCCCGCCGAGCTCAATTGGGGGCCTTGAGACGGGGGTCAATGCAAACGGGGGTCAGCCACGGCACCAGATCCTGCAGGATCCTGCGAAGACCCCCTCTGGCTGACCCGGGTTAGCGAGCCGCTCGTGGCCGCGAGGCGGCCGCGCGTATTGGTTGACCCGGGTTTGCGAAGACCTGCGTTGCAGTTTTTTCCCTGCATTGCAGTTTCTGGTTTCCTGCTGAGCCGGGTCTGGATTGGCCCGGGTCGGCAGGTGACGGACTCAACCCTGCGGGCGCTCCATTGCGTGGCCCCCCATATATCATGGCGGTCGAGTCCGAGGCGGCGGTTGGGCGGGGGAGCGACTGCGCGGCCAGGAGGGGGGGGGCGGGGGGGAAGCAGGCCCGATCCAGCAAGCCCCCCGTGACCGACGGGGCGCCGGCGCCGCCCCGGCCGCCCCCCCCCCCCCCGGCAGCTGGAGCGGCTATCCTGACAGCGCCTGCCCAGCGAGCGGCCGCCCCGCGCCAAGGGGGCGAGCTGCGAAGCAGCCCCCTGATGGTCCTCACCTACCTCGAGCAGCGGGCCGTCGGCAAGGCCACGCCGGTGAACTACCGGGGGCGAGCGGGCGCGTTAATAGGGCGGGGCTCGCGTCCCCGCTTGGGCTGGATCGTCTGGGAGCAGCTGGGCGCGATGATGGTTACCTACGTCGACTACCGGTACTTCCACGGCCACAGCGGGGCCGTGGCCTCTCGCCTCGAGCAGGCGAGTGCGATTCGCGTGCTACCTCCCCGCGTCCGAGTGCGACCTCCTGACAGCCATGCAGGCGCTCTCGCCCGTCGCGGCGGGCGCCGGGGTCTCGCCGCGCGGCTGCGCTATCCAGAAGAGCTGAAGCCTCCCCGGGAGACGCTGCTCCGGGACCTCTCCGCAGTGTTCGACACCCTCGTCTTCCTGGTGCTGGCGCTCCTGGGGCAGAAGCGGCGGCCACCCCTGGGGGGTCGCCCCTGCGGTCCTTCCCCCCCGCGTTTCTCCGCCCGAGCTTGGGGGGCGGCTTGTGCCCTGGGCCGGAAGGACTCCCCATTCACAGCGCGCGGGCTGCGTCAGTGGGGGGCGTCGGACGACCTCCCTACAAAGAGACGGGTGGCCCTCGTCCTCCAGCTGCGCCGCGGCTGGGCCTCCTACGTGAACATCAAACGCCGAACTGAGCTGGCGCGCGTCATCAGCGAGTTGCAGCGCGTCGGCCAGCGGGCCATCTCCGTCGGCCTGACCATGGGCGCCGCCCTGGCTCGCATCTTCCTGAACGGCGCGAGCCTGCCCGCGTTGCGCCTGGCCTCGAGCGGGCAGTGGAGCTGACGGGCCTGCGCGAGGAGAGCCCGTCGACGCACGCCATCCGTCGTCACCTCCTCAGAAAACTCCGTGACTTTTTCAAGCAGCGGAATGGCCCCTCTCGCACCGCCGTCCTGGAGCTGTTCGCCGGAACGGGCCGCCAGTCGGCGGCGCTGCGGCGCAAAGGCATTGCGGCGTTGCCGATGGACCTTGCTGCAAAAACCGTTTCCAAACTCGACCTCTTGGTCGTCCGTCGCAGTGTCCGAGGCTGGCTGCGGGGGGGCGCGTGCGCTGCGGTCTGGGTGGCCCTGCCGCGCAGTTGCTGGAGCCAGGCCCGCCTTGGGCCGCCGGGGTCTTCTTGGTGCACCATCCGCTCGAAGGACCACGTTGTGGGGCTCCCCGGTTCGGGAACCAGGCCGCAGGCGGCCGTCGACCTCGGGAACTAGCAGATCCGTTTCGCCCTCGGCCTCATCGCGCTCTGCCGCTCGCTTGGGACCCCGATCTACCTCGAGAGCGCGGGGTCCTCGTGGGTCTGGGCGACGCCGGCGCTGCAGGCCCTGCTCAGGGCCCAGGACGCTTCCGTCTGCAACTTCGACATGTGCGCGTTCGAGGCTCGCTGGAGGAAGTTCACCCGCGTGGCCTCTTGGGCCCGACATTACCTTGAGGTTTCCTTGAGGCCCCGGTGCAGTTGTAGAAAAGGGTCTCTGCTCTTTGTCGGGGAAGCCCCACATCGTCCTCTGTGGCTTCGACCCCGTTTCTGGGATCCTCTGGACCCGCCTCGCCGAGTTTTGTCGTGTGCGTTTTTGTAATGACTTTTGGGGATTCAGTTGCGAGGCAAACAGGATGTCAGGGTTTCAACCGCATGGTGACCCTTTGTCTGTCCCACTTCTAATAGATGCTCGTGCTAATGGGGCTTTCGCGTATCCTTGCCCAAGCATCTTGTCCAAGGCCGTCTGACGGTTTTTAGTTTTCAATGTATGTTATATCGGCGCCGCTTTCCGTCGCCACTTCTCCTGTCGGGTTCGGTTATCCTCCTCGGTGGTGTGTTGGTGCTTTGGTTCCTTGTTTCCTTCCTCTCCTCTTCCTGTGCGTCTCGTTCGCTCACCGCTCTGCCCTTCTGTGGAATCGCCCGGGGCGCCCGCCACAGAAATGTTGTGACGGCCTGGGCTGTAGCGGGTGATGACAGTGTCTTTCACCTATCATCTCCTTTGGAACCGAGGGCCGTCGTGGTCGCGCCCAAGCGCCTGCCCAAGTTTTGTGTTATGGTCTGCCTTCCGCTCCTTTTTCTTTCTCCTCCTCGGTGGTGTGTTGGTGTTTTGGTCCCTTGTCTCCTTCCTCTCCTCCTGTGCGTCTCGTTCGTTCGCCGCTGCGCCTTTCGGTGGAATCGCCCAGGACGCCCGCCACATAGAAATGTTGGCGCGGCCTGGGCTGAAGCGGGAGACGATGATGATGTTGATGATGATGATGGGAATGATGATGATGATGTTGATGATGATGGTGATAGTGTCGACGACGATGACGATCACGATGTTGATGGTGATGTTGGTTATGCTATTGGTGATGATGATGACCATGCTGTTGATTATGTTGATGATGCTGATGTTGACGACGATGACGATGACGACGACGACGACGACGACGATGATGACGATGATGATGGTGGTGATGATGCTGATGGTGGTGATGATGATGATGATGATGATGATGATGACACTGATGAGGCGGAACAGGGGAGGAGGAATTTGGACGAGGAGGAGTGAGACGCGGGGCGCTGCACATTCAAAACGAGAACCCACCCCACAGGAGGAATGGGAACATGCAGATCCGACAGCCGATTAGTTGTCCCCTGCACATCCCACCACGATGTCCATTCAACAAACAGAACGCATGATTGCTCGGTTCAATGAAATCTTTGGGAGGCTCCCAGAATGCTACTGGCAGTCGGTGTGATATTCTACGTTCAAGACTGGTTTCCTGGTACTTCGATTGTTTGTCTGGCTTTTCGTATGCTGTTTCGCGTTCTTGCCACGCATGATTTTCCTGGGGTGACACATTCGTGACTCACCCGTGCACCCGTCGCGCTCACAGTTTGTCAGTTTGTCCATGTGGTCGCCATTCGTATGGTTTCGCATTGCATGCTGTGTGTCCGCCAGGGGCGTCTGCACCAGGAACAAGTCATGGATGGAGGAGAATCATCAGAAGCGGCGTCGGTCGTCGTGTCAGCAGCAGCGCGCTCAGCAGCAGGAGCAGACGCAGCGGGAGCATCAGGATCAGAAGCGTGAGGAGGAGCAGCAACGGCAGAATCGGGAGGATCTGGTCTGGGAATTGCAGAAAAGAGGAACAACGGCAGCAGCAGTTGTCTCAGCCGTCCCCCCGCGAGCTCCCAGGCCGACGCGGCGCATGCTGCCGCGCGCCCGCAGGCAGGCGAGACCTCGCCGGACCGCCCGGGAGGGGGGGGGAGGAATGCTATGTTCTAATCCCCCCCTTTCGCCTTTTCACCCTTTCCTGCACAGAATAATAACAACTCGATAACACGCTGATGAGATCTGCGGCCTCACCTCCTTTTCTCCATATCCTAAGATGGAGTTCTTTTCATTCCTCAGGCGCCTCCGACTCACACCGCCCCCACCTCTCGTCCCACTCCTCCTCTTCCCCACCTCGGACGCACTCATTCTCAGACCCACTCGTACTCAGGTTCAGTCATACTGAGACACAGGCATACTCATACTCGGACTCACTTACACTCAGACTCACACATTTCTCCTATTCCTCACTCAGACTCACTCATATCTTCCTCTTCCTCATTGAAAGTGGCTCATACCCAGACTCACTCGCACACAGACTCACTTGGTGTTCAGACTTACTCACTTTCAGTCCGGCTGGCACTCAGACGCACTCATACGCAGACTCCATCACAATCAGACTCACTCATACTCAGATTCACTCGCGCTCAGACTCACTCGCAATCAGCCTCACTCGCATTGGAATTTGCGACGCACTTGTACTTAGACTCGGAGATTGTGAGGATGTCTCGAGCGAGGCACTGACTTCAGCACCCCAACGGGGAGCCAGCAGGAGTGATTGCACGGCTCCGCTCGCGTCCAGATTGTTGGGTTGTCCCAGGCGGGTTGCCTTTCTGGTTACCCGCGCATCTTTACTTTCAAAGCAAGTCATGAGGATGCTTCGAGCGAGGCGCTGGTTCCAGCACCCCAACGGGGAAGCCGCCAGGGATGGTTGCACGGCCCTTTTCGCGTCCAGATTGTGGGGATGTCTCAGGCAGGTTGTTCCCAACCAACCTGTGTTGTTGGGTCCTCGTTTTGAAGAGACGGTCCCCGCGTTTCTCCTCCTCCTCGCCCCCGCCCTCCAGGTGTTCGCATGCGGTTCCCCCACCCAGGGCAGCGTTTCGTAGCCCCATAGGGAGCTCCACCGAAGGCCCCAGTGGGGGTGTTCGCATGCGGTTCCCCCACCCAGGGCAGCGTTTCGTGGCCCCATAGGGAGCTCCACCGAAGGCCCCAGTGGGGGTGTTCGCATGCGGTTCCCCCACCCAGGGCAGCGTTTCGTAGCCCCATAGGGAGCTCCACCGAAGGCCCCAGTGGGGGTGTTCGCATGCGGTTCCCCCACCCAGGGCAGCGTTTCGTGGCCCCATAGGGAGCTCCACCGAAGGCCCCAGTGGGGGTGTTCGCATGCGGTTCCCCCACCCAGGGCAGCGTTTCGTAGCCCCATAGGGAGCTCCACCGAAGGCCCCAGTGGGGGTGTTCGCATGCGGTTCCCCCACCCAGGGCAGCGTTTCGTGGCCCCATAGGGAGCTCCACCGAAGGCCCCAGTGGGGGTGTTCGCATGCGGTTCCCCCACCCAGGGCAGCGTTTCGTGGCCCCATAGGGAGCTCCACCGAAGGCCCCAGTGGGGGTGTTCGCATGCGGTTCCCCCACCCAGGGCAGCGTTTCGTAGCCCCATAGGGAGCTCCACCGAAGGCCCCAGTGGGGGTGTTCGCATGCGGTTCCCCCACCCAGGGCAGCGTTTCGTGGCCCCATAGGGAGCTCCACCGAAGGCCCCAGTGGGGGTGTTCGCATGCGGTTCCCCCACCCAGGGCAGCGTTTCGTGGCCCCATAGGGAGCTCCACCGAAGGCCCCAGTGGGGGTGTTCGCATGCGGTTCCCCCACCCAGGGCAGCGTTTCGTAGCCCCATAGGGAGCTCCACCGAAGGCCCCAGTGGGGGTGTTCGCATGCGGTTCCCCCACCCAGGGCAGCGTTTCGTGCCCCATAGGGAGCTCCACCGAAGGCCCCAGTGGGGGTGTTCGCATGCGGTTCCCCCACCCAGGGCAGCGTTTCGTGGCCCCATAGGGAGCTCCACCGAAGGCCCCAGTGGGGGTGTTCGCATGCGGTTCCCCCACCCAGGGCAGCGTTTCGTAGCCCCATAGGGAGCTCCACCGAAGGCCCCAGTGGGGGTGTTCGCATGCGGTTCCCCCACCCAGGGCAGCGTTTCGTGGCCCATAGGGAGCTCCACCGAAGGCCCCAGTGGGGGTGTTCGCATGCGGTTCCCCCACCCAGGGCAGCGTTTCGTAGCCCCATAGGGAGCTCCACCGAAGGCCCCAGTGGGGGTGTTCGCATGCGGTTCCCCCACCCAGGGCAGCGTTTCGTGGCCCCATAGGGAGCTCCACCGAAGGCCCCAGTGGGGGTGTTCGCATGCGGTTCCCCCACCCAGGGCAGCGTTTCGTAGCCCCATAGGGAGCTCCACCGAAGGCCCCAGTGGGGGTGTTCGCATGCGGTTCCCCCACCCAGGGCAGCGTTTCGTGGCCCCATAGGGAGCTCCACCGAAGGCCCCAGTGGGGGTGTTCGCATGCGGTTCCCCCACCCAGGGCAGCGTTCGTGGCCCCATAGGGAGCTCCACCGAAGGCCCCAGTGGGGGTGTTCGCATGCGGTTCCCCCACCCAGGGCAGCGCTTCGTGGCCCCATAGGGAGCTCCACCGAAGGCCCCAGTGGGGGTGTTCGCATGCGGTTCCCCCACCCAGGGCAGCGTTTCGTGGCCCCATAGGGAGCTCCACCGGAGGCCCCAGTGGCTGCTCTCGCATGCGGTTCCCCCGCCCAGGGCAGCGCTTCGTGGCCCCATGGGGAGCTCCACCGAAAGCCCCCGTGGCGCAGTTCGCATGCGCTTCCCCCACCCAGGGCAGCGTTTCGTGGCACCATAGGGAGCTCCACCGAAGGCACCAGTGGGGGTGTTCGCATGCGGTTCCCCCACCCAGGGCAGCGTTTCGTAGCCCCATAGGGAGCTCCACCGAAGGCCCGCCCCGGTAGCGCAGTCCGCATGCGGTTCCCCCATCCAAGGCAGCGCTTCGTGGCCCCATATGGAGCCCCACCGAAAGCGGCACCCACAACGCGTTACCAACAATTGCTTATGGTTGGGTCTTTCGCCAGGATTTTTTTTTGGTTGCCCATGACTCTTGTTGCTTTCAGACCAGATTATGAGGATGTCTCCAGCGAGGCGCTGGTTTCATCCCCCCAAGGGGGAGCCGCCAGGGGCTGTTGCACGGTTCCGTTCGCGGACAGATTGTGGAGATGTTTGCGGCGGTGTGTTTGTTTGGTTGCCAGACTCTTTGCTTTCATACCAGGTCGTGAGGATGTCTCGAACGTGGCGCTGATTCCAGTACCGTATGGGGGAGCCGCCAGGGGTTGTTGCACGGCCCCATTCGCGCCCAGTTTGTCGGGGTGTTTCATGCGGTTTGTTTGTTTGGTGATTCAGCCCAGGTTCATCTGCTTGAGAGAAGAGTGTCAGGAAGTCTCGAGTGAGGCGCTGGTTTCAGCACCCCAAGGGCGAGCCGCCGTGGGTGATTGCGCGGCCCCGTTCTGGCCCAGACTGTGGGCATGTTTCAGGCGGTTTGATTGTCGGGTTGCCCATATTCCCTTGCGTGCGAGGATGTCTCAGGCGAGGCGCTGGTGTCAGCACCCGAACGGGGAGACGCCACGCCCCCTTTCGCGTCCAAAGCGTTGGGAAGTCTCAGACGGTTTGCCTGTTTGGTTGCCCAGACTAGTTTGCTATCGCAGCAGAGTGTCAGGATGTCTCGAGCGATGCGCTGGCTTCAGCAGCACAGTGGCCCAGATTGTGGGGATGCCTCATGCGGTGTGTCTGTTTGGTTGCCCAGGCTCTTCTGCCGTGAGAGCAGAGTGTGAGGATGTCTCGAGCGAGGCGCTGACTTCAGCACCCCAAGATGAAGCCGCCAGCGGCCTGTTCGTGGCCAGATTGTTGGAATGTTTGGGGCGGTTTGCTGTTTTGGTCGCCCAGACCCTTTTGCGGTCGGACCAGACTGTGAGGCTGTCTCAAGCGAGGCGTTGGGTCCAGCCCCTCAAGGGTGATCCGCCAGGGTGTAGGACGGGGATGTCTCGAGCGAGGCGCTCGTTTTGCATTTCGGGGGAGGAGGGAGGAAGATAATGGAGGGGCTACGGGGAGGAGGAAGAGGAGAGGGTAGGGGGGGGGCACTTGCCGGGGGGGGGGGCACTGCTAGGGAGGGTGGTGGAGGTGGGAGGGCGGAAGAGGGGGGAGGAGGGAGGGCGGAAGAGGGAGGGAGAGGGAAGGCCTTCATGGAGGAGGGAGGACGGATGAGGAAGGAGGCAGACGCAGGAGAAGGGATAAGGAGGAAGGCAGAAGAGAAGGGATAGCGTACGACGGGGGAGGAGAGGGGATGAGCCTGCTCACCGCCTCTCTGTGAGGTGGTTTCGTTTTTCGTTGTGCCTCATCGTCGTTGGCGTCGGCGTCGTCGTCTTCGTCGTCTTCGGGCTCGTCGTCCACTGTGATTCGCTCTAACATCCAACACTCACAGCAGACGCGAAAAGCGGGCGGGTCATCATGTTAGATGCGCATGGGGGATCTCCGCGTCGAGTATTTTCTCCAAGACAACATCGTTGTTTATGAGTTTTGGCCCACCCGTGTGCGGGACCCCTCATACGCGACGTCCTAATTCCCTATTTGTTCGCTCCATGCTCGCGCCTGGCGTTAGTCGGATGCAGCGCTTGCTCCAATGAGGACGGGAAGGAGGTGGAGGGAGGAGAAGGAGGTGAAGGAGGGAGGAGGCGGAGGGGACGGAGGGAGGATGAGGGAGGAAGAGAAGGAGTAGGGGGAGTTATAGGAGGAGGGGAAAGAGGAGTTGAAAGAGGGAGGGCAGGATGAAGAGAAGGAAGTTCTAAGACGCCGGAGCCCACCACGTGCTCAAGTCTGTGCAGCGCCAACGAGGGTGAAGTTGACCTTCCATGCGTCGCCCGCCCCGCCCGGAAGAAGCTTGAACCCAGAAATCCCCCCGAAACCCGAAGAAGGCATGTCCAAACCCGAAATCCCGGAGTCCCAAACCCGAACCTCCAGGAGGGGCGAGATCCGACAAGCTGGGAGGGGGCCTACCCAGAAACGCTGAGGAGGGGATCTCGAAGGAGGCAGGGCGGGGTAGTGGGCGGTA